ATACATATGAACATTGAAGGACATGTTCTTACATTGTCAACACATACAAATACTGCAGTATCTATGGTATAGTAGAGTAAATCATCAAACATGGGCACATTTAAGCACACACCCTTTCATTTTTACAATCAATATACCACAATCAAGTCTTAAAATAACAAGAAGATACTTGTAATGGATTGTTGTGAGCTTGTTTACCAAAGTACAAGCTAATTTTGCAGCTATTTTTAAAATTTAAACCCACCATCCCATGCTTAACTCACTTCAACTCCACAGACTTTCAACATGGCCGCTGTCTCTTCAGCAGAAGGTCCTATGTGACGTCTAGCAAACTTCTCCTGCTTTAGAACATCTTTGGTAGTCTCAGGACGAGCTTTATCAGTCTCCTTAGCTCCTTTTTCGGATGTTAGTCCAAAAGAAAGTCCCCGTGCTTGTGTGATAATCCTTGTAGCTGTCCTGGCGGACCCAAAAGCTTTCCATAGCATGGACATTGCTAGAAGGGAGGCTAGCTGGAGAGAGGGAGGAAGAGGGAGGAAGAGGGGAGAGTTGTCTTGTGGATCAAGACTGGTCTGACTGGTCTCTCGAGCGTGTATATTGGCAATGAATAAACAACACCTCCGACACACCCACTTTTAATGACTTAATAAACAAGTTAACTAACCACTGGTCAAATAACCACTGGTTAACAAACTAGCTAGTCTACTAACTGCTATTCTATCATGCCTACTTGTAATTGACCAATCAGATTGCAGAATGCCAGGTTTCTAAATCTATTAGATACCTCCCATCCCGGGAACACTTATTAACCTCCCGGGAACACTTATTAACCTCTTGGTTTATTAAATAAAATAAGCGAAACCTGGCGCTCTACGCTTATGCTCTTATTAGTCCATTTGTCAAGCTTGGTTGATTCTTTTCTGCCTAGCCTGTTAGATATGTTGTATTTATGTCAACTGTGGTCTTATTATCAGCAGCTGGTAGTTGTTTTCAAATGTTATGATAGAAGTTGGTTATACACCTTGGTATCGGTTTCTATGGTATTTATTAACCTCGCGACTGCGTCGCTCGGTTAATAAATACCATAGAAACCTCTACCTCGGTGTATAACCTATACGTAACTTAACTAGAAGTTAGTTAATATTTATTTTGGGTGTGGTCAACCCACGTGTTGTGTTTTAATTTGGAAAAAAGGAGGTTGTTTTTGCCTTTGAAGTTCAAATTACAGATCTCTCTCTCCCTCTTTTTAGTTGTCCTTTATGTCAGTTGAAGTCACAAAGTCTCCTCTAGACGAGAAAGAGTACAGGTAACCTGTTTATCACTCTTAATGATAATAAATTATTGTTCTATTAATAGGTGTCTGTCATTACCCAATGGATTGAAAGTGTTATTAATATCAGAATATAATTTAGCTCATCAATCCGATGGTACGTAATTTGATGCAGTAACAAAAATGTTTTATTGTTGTATAGACGAGTTTGATTCTGGTTCCGAGTCTGGAGATTCCGAATCCTCAAATTACGAGAATGGAATCTCCAAAGGACTCAGTTCAGGGACTGGCTGCACTAGTAGGAAGAGAAGGAAGACAGAGAGTGGATCAACTGATGATGACCAGTTTATGAGAAAAGAAAGAGGAACTAGTAGTAGGAAGGGAACTAAGCAGCTATTTAATGTAAGATTATTATATATACATGTATATATATTTATACATGTACATGTATGTGAAGTTTGCTTTTAATCATTTTTAAAATTTTCGTCATCAATGTATTAGAGATTTGGCTCTACTAATTTTAATAAATTTAATAAATTTGTCTTCTAATAATTTAATGACCTTACCTAATTTACTATAAACAATTAAATTGTTTGTATTATTGTTGTTGTTGTTGTTGTTGTTTAGGCTGCTTGTGGTTTATGTGTTAGAGTTGGTTCATTTCACGATCCTAAAGAACTGCCCGGCCTTGCACACCTACTGGAGCACAGTGAGCTATTTTTAGTAACAACTAACAAGCTATTTTTAGTAACACTTAAATCTACATCGATCCACAGATGCATTTTTTATTAATAAAATTTGCTAGTTATATTTTATTTTTAGTAACACTTAAATGACATAATTTTTGCTATTAATAGTAACATGCCTCTCCCCCTGTAGTGCTGTTTATGGGTAGTCAGAAGTATCCCGGGGAAAACGAGTTTGACTCGTTTGTCAGCTCTCATGGAGGCAACTCTAATGCCTGCACTGGATATGAACTGGTAAAACCTGTTTTGCAAAACCTGTACGACCTGTTTTTAGACTTATTACTGCTTTGAAGTTAATAAGAAATATTTTCAAGAAGCACTTGACAAGTAAGAGAGAGAGGATAAAGTTTGTGCGTTCATTTTTTAATTTCTAGGTTTGCACATTTCTTCATATCTCCACTGATAATGGAGTCAAGTTTAGAGAGAGAGATAGAAGCTGTTGATAATGGTGAGAGAGAGAGAGAGGGAGGGAGGAATAGCAAGAAGTAATATCTCCCCTTTTTGTACATGTACATGTATTTTTTAGAATTCAAAGATTCCTTACAAAGTGATAGTAATCGTCTTCAACAGTTATTCTCATCATTAGCTCGTCCTGATCACCCACTGAGGAACTTTCCCTGGGGTATGACAATATATGTACATACATGTATGTCACATGACTATCATGTGACCAGCTGTACATGTATATGGCCATGGTTTGATAGTGTTTTGTGTTTATTTGTGTGTAGGTAACAGTGAGACTCTTAAGGTGGGGCCTAGTGAGAGTGGGGTTGATGTGGTCAAGTATTTGAGAGAGTTTTATGAGAAGTATTACTCAGCCAGCTACATGACATTAACAGTAGTATCTGAAGGTACAAAATACTATAGTGTTTATTAGTTTAGTATTATAAGTACTCTCTTTCTCCTTCTTACTCTACCTTCTATGTCTTTTCTCTTTTCCTTTCCTCCTTTTTTCTCTCTCCCCTCCATTTTCCCTCTCTCTTTCAGATTCATTAGATGTTTTAGAGGAGTGGGTAAAAGACTCTTTCTCTGGAATACCCACAAAGTAAAACTCCAATCTTATTATTATTATTATTATTATTATTATTATTATGTACAATGTATTCTACTATTATTCTTCATTGCAGTAACAAGCCATTCCCCTCCATTTCTCATTGTCAAGTACACACATACGTGTATAATAATGTCTTAATTTTTATATTTGTTTTATTGATAATAGCCAGTATTTGATGAAGATGTCTTCCATAAACTATACAAAGGTAAAGACACTTTAATACTCTTTCTATATTTCTCCTCTCCCTCCCTCCTAGTTGTTCCTGTTAAAGATTCTTATAAATTATCATTAACATGGCTACTCCCACCAACCCTCTCTCATTACAGGTAAGCAATGTATACATGTACATGTACATCACCTGACTATTATGTCATGTGATCAATACATTATGTCATGTGACTATCATGGACTTTATAGAGAGAAACCAGTTGAGTATATCTCAATGTTAGTTGGTCATGAAGGATACGGTAGCATTCTATCACTTTTAAAGAAAAGGTATCCTCTCATTCTCATAACTCCATTCCCATTCCTCTACTCTCATTCCTGTTCCTCTATATTCTCATTCCCATTCCTACAGGAACCTTGCTACAGATCTTGAGGCTGGTACCACTGGCGAAGACTCTGAGACTAATTCATGTTTCAGTTTGTTCACATGTACCGTCACTCTCACCGTTAGTCACATGACAATCACATGATCCTTTTATTATTATTATTATTATTATTATTATTATTATTATTATTATTATTATTATTATATTATTTTATTTTTATATTTGTAGGAATTTGGTATCAATAATGTTTTTGAGGTTTGTTAATATAAATAAATGTATTATATTTTATTATGCTATTAGGTTTTGTCTGTTATATTTCAGTATTTAAAGTTATTGCAGATTGAAGGGCCACAGAAGAGGTGGGTGTGGTCAATTAATAATTAATTAATTGATTTTTAATTAGGCTGTTTGATGAGATTCGGTTGATAGAAGAAAACGATTTTAAATTTGACGAAGAAGTATGATAATAAGTTTATTATAATCATTATTATTATTATTATTAGGAAGATAGTTATGATTTAGTTGAAAGATTATGCCAGTCTATGCAGGTGTGTATTTAATAACTAGCTCCACCTCTTTTAATAACTTATTAATAGTTTTATGAACCAGAGGATTATCTAACTGGAGATTGTCTTTACTTCAACTATGAACCTCAAGTTAGTACATCAAAATGTATCACAAATGTAATAAACACTGAGGGACTGTTTTTAGAAGAAGTACATACATGTACATGTATGTAAAAGAAATTTAGTGTATTTTTTATCAAGAGTAAATAATACCTACAGTTTTGTTTTTATCTATTTGTACTTATTTGTGTGTGTCCAGCTACCCAGTTCACCTTTCCCACCGGTTACTATGGTAAAGCCAGTATTCATTATGTACTATCATAACTTTCTTTAGTCACAAGATCTTTGAATATATTTAAGGTATCGCCCACTTTTTGCATCTAGCTGATCTTCTTTAGCTGCCTTCCCTTCTTCTCTACCCTTGTTTTCATTCTCGTTCATTCTGATTTCGTCGTTTTCTTATCTTCATTTACCATCTTTATCTCTCTTCATTTTTTGTTCTTGCTTTACGTACACAATTTTATTCTTTTCTTGAAATGGCAACCAAACCATCTTCTGGTCTCCTCAAACTGGAGGAACAGCTCACCTGTCCTGTGTGTCTTGACCACTATACCAACCCTAAGACTTTACCTTGTCTACATTCATTCTGTGAGCACTGTCTGGATGAATTACCTCTGGATAAGAAGAATGAGACCTATTACCTCTCTTGTCCTACTTGTCGTCATTGTACAGAGTTACCAGAAGAAGGAGTAGGAGCCTTTCCTGTAGCATTCTACCTCAACAACCTCAAAGAGATGTACAGTGCAATGAAGAAGACAGAAGTTTTTTCAAATCCTCAAGAGGCCACATGTAGTGATCATGGAAAGCCTTTAGAGTTCTTTTGTGAAACTTGTGATACAGTAATCTGTTCTCACTGTCCATTTCGTAATCACAAAAGTCATGAATATAACCTAATCACTGACTGTTATACTAAACACTGTCAAAAGTTAAGAGAATGTCTATCACCTGTTGAGGAAAAGAAGGAAGCACTCAAGAAGGTCCTGTCTGCTCTAGCAGAGAGAGAGGGTGAGATCAGAGAGAGAGGAGAAGGAGTCTTAGAAGAAATACATGAAATGGTAGAGGAAATGATGAATGTTCTTCGTGAGTCAGAGAGGAAATTGACTGAGCAGGCAAAGAGGGTCACTGATGATAGACTAAAGGTGCTGTCAGAGCAAATGAAATCAGCAGAAATGAGTTTGAGTGTTCTGGAGGAAGTCGAGAATTATGTGAAACAGAGTCTGAAGACAGGTAGTCCTCAACAAGTCCTGAGGTGTAAGAAACAGATGATGGAGCATATGAGTGAAGTTACTGCTGCACAGATCAATATGGAGGAGTTACATCCAAAGGAAAAGGCCGACTTTGTATTGAGTAAAGATATCAAATCACTACATCACATTGGAGATATTGTGACCTACTCATCTACTGCACTACAGCAGTGTAGAGTGAAGAAAATTGGTTGCTTTGAACCTCTACCAAAAGAGAAGAAATTTTCGTTTTCACTATCAATGGAGGCACCAGATTCATCTGTTTTGTGTGTTCCTGTCTCTTCTCTGAGGTGTAGTCTAGTACCAGTTGGTAAAGGTGATGAACCCATTGACACTACAGTCACTACCACCAGCACTGATCCTAGAGTGTATAGGATACAGTGTAACCCTTCAACCAGTGGTACTCATACAATAAAAGTACAAGTATGTGATGTACACCTTGAGGATACCTCACTAGTCATCCCTATCAATCCTTACCTTGATAGCATCACTCCAGTACGTACTATAACTGAGCTTGAGGGTCCCTGGGGAGTTGCTGTAACTGATGATACTCATGTTATAATAACTGAAGCTAATGGTCACTGTGTAACAATACTGGATAGAGAAGGAAAGAAAGTGAAATCATTAGGAGGAAGAAGAGGAAGTGGTAATGTCAAATTTTCTTCTCCTTGTGGTGTAGCCATTACTCCAGACAAATTCATTCTTGTATCTGATAATGACAGGATCCAGAAGATAAGCATGGATGGATACCTTATAGCATCAGTTGGTGAGAAGGGCAGTGAACCACTACAATTCAATTGTCCTCATGGTATAGCCATTTCTCCTATAACAGGGCAGGTTTATATTGCTGATAAAGATAATCATCGTATACAAGTCTTGAATCCTGATCTAACCTTCTCTCATTCATTTGGTAGTAAAGGATTAGCTAATGGACAGTTTCAGTATCCACGTGACATCGCTATTGACAGTCAAGGATTAGTGTATGTTACTGATATTGATAATCATCGCATTCAGAAGTTCTCTCCAGATGGAAAGTTTGTGGGTCAGTTTGGCAACGGAATATTTAGTTTTGGAAAGCTTAATGGTCCAATGGGTATAACAATAGACACTGCAGCTACTGGTCTAGTGTATGTTAGTGAATGGGGCAATCATCGTATATCAGTCTTCACTAGTGATGGTGTGTTTGTTAGGAAGTTTGGAAGTAAAGGCAGTAATATTGATCAGTTTTATAATCCTTGTGGATTAGCATTTGATAAAGATGGATTCTTGCATATCTGCGATTGGAAGAACAATCGACTAGTTGTTTATTAAATCTTTAAAAAAAATTTTTGTAGTTATTATTAGTGCTAACCATTTTTATTATTATTGTTTGCTAATGTTATAAAGTGCACTAGTGACATAGATCAATGGAGCGCTGGACTGCAAATTATATAGACTGGGTGATAGCTTGCAAAGTACATCAATGTGTATTAGAAAAATGTAATAAAAATTGGGGGTGATTTTTTAGCCATTTTTTGGACAAAAAACCATGGGCTATAGTACAGGGATTTTTTCAGAATTTTGGCATTTTCTTTAAATGGCCATAATTTGAAAAATTGAAGTCGGAATCACCTCAAACTTTCTACACAGCATAAGTGCATCAATA